CTCTCGTAGTCGTGGAGGCTGATACTGGGCTTGTACGTCTTGCCGTCGTCAAGTGATGTGGGTTCGTCGAGGACTGGGACCTTCCAGAAGGCCGGGTCCAAGGCAATGAATTGGGCGTCCGCAGCCTGAAGACGTGCGGACGCAGCTGGTGGGTGTGATGTGTCACCACCAGTGCGCTTAGGCTTGCTGCGCTGGTGGTGATCCAGCGTGTAGCTGATCTGGTTGGCGGCACACATGCGGATCAAGGCACTGCCGAGCTTCTTTGTGTTGGTCTTGTGCTTGTCGTACGTGGCCTGCAGCTCGTCCGCGTTCAGCTCGGCGAGCCCGTTGTATGCGGCCGTGGGGCGGTCAGACCCCGCTTGCTTGAAAGCTGCGATGCAGTCCTGCTTGCGTTGGAGGAGAGACCCTTCAGCAGCAGGACGTGAGCTCGGAGGCTGCTTGGAAGAGCGACGGCGCTCCGGCTTACTGGGGGCCATTGCTGCGGGCGCTCTGGTGGGGAGAGGCGACGCGAATCAGTAGGGTCCTGCTGGGACCCCTCCGGTCTCGCGAGGCCTGGGAGTCTGACTCCGAGGCGGGGCGCTTCGCGTCGCGGCTGCGGTCTGAGTGCTGGGCACTCTCGAGCCGAGACTAGAGAGAGATAGAGAGAGAGAGAGAGAGAGAGAGAGAGACAGAGAGAGAGAGAGATAGAGAGAGAGAGAAGAGAAGAGAAGAGAAGAGAGAGAGCGAGAGAGAGAGAGAGGGAGAGTGAGAGAGAGAGGAGAGAGCAGAGAGAGAATAGAGAGAAGAGAGAGAGGAGAGAGAGAGAGAGAGAGAGAGAGAGAGAGAGAGAGAGAGAGAGAGAGAGAGAGAGAGAGAGAAGAGAGAGAGAGAGAGAAGAGAAGCGAAGAGAAGAGAAGAGAGAGATAGAGAGAGAGAGCGAGAGACGAGAGAGAGAGAGAGAGCAGAGAGAGAGAGAGAGAGAGAGCGGGAGAGAGCGAGGGAGAGCGAGAGAGAGCGAGAGAGAGAGAGTGAGAGCGAGAGAGAGAGAGAGAGAGAGAGAGAGAGAGCGAGAGAGAGCGACAGAGAGCGAGAGAGAGCAAGAGAGAGCGAGAGAGCGAAAGAGAGAGAGAGAGAGAGAAGAGAGAGAGAGAGAGAGAGAGAGAGAGAAAGAGAGAGAGAGAGAGAAGAGAAGAGAGAGAGCGAGAGAGAGAGAGAGGGAGAGTGAGAGAGAGAGGAGAGAGCAGAGAGAGAATAGAGAGAAGAGAGAGAGGAGAGAGAGAGAGAGAGAGAGAGAGAGAGAGCGAGAGAGAGAGAGAGGCAGAGATAGAGGCAGAGAGAGAGAGGCACAGAGAGAGAGGCAGAGAGAGAGAGAGAGGCAGAGAGACAGAGGCAGAGAGAGAGGCAGAGAGAGAGAGAGGCAGGGAAAGAGAGGCAGAGACAGTGAGAGGGCAGAGAGAGAGAGAGAGAGACAGAGAGAGCAGAGAGAGCAGAGAGAGAGGCAGCTCAATCACACTTAAATCCAGATTCGTCCTCACCGAGTCCCACCACCAAGGGAGCGCCAGCAAGGAGATGCACATATGGGGATCCCCACGCAGTGAATAATTTGTTGTTGCCGTTTTTTTCCTGCCTCGTGGGCCCCTCCCTGGGCCCCGCGGCTGTCAAAGAACAAGCTGGGATGAGAGCTGCTCCCTGGGGGGGAAGCTCCGGGGGCCGGGGAGCCATGCTCCTCAGGACCCCATGCCTTCACGCCAGGGGAGGCCTTCCTCCGTCTCTCCTTCCTCGGTGTGTTCCCTCCTTGCCCTCTCCGAGTTCGCCGGTAGAGGCCAGGTGGCGTGGGGAGGGGGCGGAGGGTGCCGACGGCGACGTGGGCGGTGACGTTGGGTTGGAGGGTATGAGGACGATCAAGGAGGAGGAGGAGGAGGAGGAGGAGGAGGAGGAGGAGGAGGAGGAGGAGGAGGAGGAGGAGGAGGGGGAGGTGGAGGAGGAGGAGGAGGAGGAGGAGGAGGATGAGGAGGAGGAGGAGGAGGAGGACCCGCGTCCAAGCCTCGAACGGCTCAAGGCGGGCAGGCTCCCAGCCAGGCGGGAGGGCCACATCTGGTGGCTGGATGCGGACGGGAGTGCGATGGTGCGGGGGCATGCGGATTAGATGAGGAGAAGGAGGAGGAGGGAGGAGAAAGGGGAGAAGGAGGAGGAGACGGAGGAGGACGAGGAAGGGGATGGGGAAGGGGAGGCGGTGAGGGGAGGCCGTGGAGGAAGAGGGGGGTGCAAGGCGTGGGCGGGCAGCGAATGGGGGAGGCGGGAAGAGAGGGAATGAGGGACAGAGGAGGGAGGAGCGTGTGCAGGAGCATGCGCGGGAGCGGGAGGATACGGAGAGGGGTATGAGGGAGGAGGAGGAACAGGAGGAGGATTACCGATTACCGCCAATAACAGTTTCTTATGATCGAGCATGCGCAAAACGACTGGAGAGTCCTCAATGCGTGGCCACGCCGTTCACCTAGAATGGAAATCAGTCAGGCAAGACGATTGCCCCCAAAAGTTCCTCCGAGCGGCCAGGAACAGCTGAACGTCTACCCTCAAGAGCAGCTGAACGTTCACCCTCATATAGCGATCTCCCCCGCAAAGGGTGCCGACCCAAGCCCCGCCTCTCAGATATCGGAACCCTGGAACACCCTCGACGACGTGGCGGGTCGCCAGGCCAAGGAGACACGTTGTTCACGACCACCCCCAAAGGTCCCCTGGCCCAAGGGGGCCAGGTGGCACGCGTCAGCAGGAGGAGGAGGAGGAGGAGGAGGAGGAGGAGGAGGGGGAGGAGGAGGAGGAGGTAGAGGAGGAGGACAGGGAGGGGACGGGAGGGAGGTAGGGAGGGAGAGGAGGGAGGGAGGGAGGGAGGAGGAGGAGAAGGAAGGAGGAGGAAGAGGAGGAGAGAGGAGGAGGAGGCGGAGGAGGAGGAGGAGGAGGAGGAGGAGGAGAAGGAATGAGGAGGGAAGGGAGGAGGAGGAGGAGGAGGAGAGGAGGAGGAGGACGAGGAGGAAGAGGAGGGAAGAGGAGGAGGAGGGGAGGAGGAGGAGGAGGAGGAGGAGGAGGAAGAGGTGGAGGAGGAGGAGGGAGGAGGAGGAGGGAGGAGGAGGAGGAGGAGGAGGAGGAGGAGGAGGAGGAGGAGGAGGAGGAGGAGGAGGAGGAGGAGGACGAGAGGGGCCAGCGATGCTGCAACGCGTACGCCCGCCCGTCCCGAGAGCCCAATGCCCCTCGGAAGGCCCCTCGGAAGACCACCCCCGCTGCAGAAGGAGGGGGAAGGGGAAGGCCCCCCCGGGACAGGCGGGCGCCCCGTGGCACTGCGATGCGGGCGGCAGCCCCGGCTCTAGAGGGCAGGAGCTGCCAGCCACGCTTCCAGCTGTAAGGCGGGCCTGTCCCTCGTACAGGAGGAAGATTCAGAGCATGGCCAAGCAAAAAAGAGGTGAGGGCGATTGTTTAGTATCTCCAATCATCGTTGACTATTTTTGACTTGTTCAATTGCCCTGCAAAACCCGCCTGTAGGAGGACATGCCCGACCTAGTTCTAGCTATGAGGACGGCGGCGAAGCAGGATCATCATGCCCAAGGATGTGTCCAGCGGGGCCACCGCTCCGAAAATGAGCCGCCTTTGATGCGTCTGGGCTTAAAAACCTAAGTTTGGGCTGAAGCGAGATCACCGGTTTGAATTGTGCCGCTGTCCATCCGTGCAGCCGTTGCGCACCTTCGAAACATGTTTCACTTGTACAGTTGTCGGAACATTGTAAAGGCGTTGGTGCGCGGCGCCCATGCGATTTCCACACTTTAGAGAAGAGCCCCCCCTCTATCCGTGTAACAGCTGGAAGCTTTGGATTCAAGTGCGCGGCGCCAAGGCGAGAGCAGCATGTTCAAAACGAGCACCCCACAGCGGTCTGGTCTGGTGCTGGGCGTCCCGACCCCTTCTTACATGGTTCGTCTTGCGCCACCTTTCTGTGCTGTGCCACCGTTTTCTCTTCATTCTCATTATTCTCCTTTCCCCCCCTCAAGCTTGATTTCAACCAGGGTTATTTTTCTACCGCAGGCTGCTCTGCAATGAGAGCAGGCTGTGTCATCCGTCGGCAGCCGTTCCACTTGCACGCCTTCGTAACCCGAATTGGCGAGTCTGATGTTGTCTAGTTCGCCTGAGGCGTCTTTCGGTTTATCCCCATCTCCTCTCCCTCCTCGTCTGACTTCTCCTCTTCCTACGTTCTCCTCCCTCCTGTCACAACTGCTCTGTCGATCTGTTGATCATGCCACAGTTCATAGAATGAGTTTGCCTATTGCAGGTCGGCTTGTGCGGTGTTCCCGGTTTGCCTAGCGACATCTTGCTTCGCGATGTGGTTGTGTCACCAGTGGTGTTTCGCGTGAAACAATCCGATCCGCATAACAATTGGACGCTGTCAAAATGAATGAGCGCGTAGCCAATGCCAGAGCAACATTTTGAAAACGACCCCATCCACCACTGTAACAGTTGGAAGCTGTCAAGACGAATACGCCACGAAGTTGTAAAGGCGGATGTGCGCGGCGACAGCGCGAGAGCCACTCTACAATACGACCCCCCCTCTGTCAGTGCAACTCTTGGAAGCTTTGAAGACGAGTGTGCGCGGCGCTCATGCGATTGCCAAAAAATGAAAGGGAACCGCCCTCCAGCCTTGTAGGTGTTGGAAGCTCTGAAGACGCATGTTCGCGGCGCCCAGGCGATCCCTACATTTTAAATGACCCTCCGACATCCGTTCAGAAGCTGGACAGTTGCAAGTTTCAGGGTCCTTAACGAGGACGTCTCAGGCGAAACGCCTGGCCCGCCCTACCAACACGTCTGGTGGTCAGACGAGGAGGACTTGTCCAGTCAGAACAGGTGATGGAGCGATGGCACAGGGGAAGGGGAGGGGGGAGGAACGACGGCGAGGATCGGGAATCTCGGGAGGAGGAGTACGAGGAGGAGGAGGAGGAGGAGGAGGATGAGGATGAGGATGAGGAGGAGGAAAGACGAGCGAGGTCAACTGGGGCGCGGTGGCTGGCACCGTGCTCGGCGCCGCGGCCGTTGGCGCGGTCGCGATCGGCATCGGTCTGCTGGCCAAGTCTGTCTTCGATGACATGTCGAAGAGGCGTCGTCGCTGACTGGGCTCCGCGGCGTGGGCACCTCGATGGGAGGGGGAGGGGGAGGAGAAGAGCGTGTGTTCCAGTGCGAGCGCGTGCGTGAGTGCGTGTGTGCGCGAGTCCTCCCATCGGCAGCGTCAGGTGGCATTGACGCACGCCCCGCCTCGGCTCTCGCTGCAGTGACGTCGCTCGGCCCCTGATGAAAACAGGTGTGCGCGCGTGCTCGTGCCTGTTCGAATGTGAATGTCTGCAGTCCTCGCAGTTGCTACCGCGCGGGGCCGCGCTGACGGGTTAGGCTCGGTCGCTGCGTGGCAGCCACCGCCCCGCTTTCCCAATCGCCTGCCCGTGCGCCGCCTTGTGCTTTGCGGCTGGTGGCCTCCAGCCCGCCTCCTCGCCGCTGACGCCCCGCTCGGCGGCCTGTGAAGTTTGCGGCGGGTCGCAGTTATTGCGTGCTCCCTCTCTTGCTTAGGCTTGCGCTTGGGCTGCAGCTGTGACACGCAGACCCCGAGCTGTGTGCTTTGGTCTGCACGGTCGGCGCTACTTCTCTTTCCCCACCCCTCTTCTCGTCCTGGCGCCGGGCTTCGGATTTCGTCGCTGCTGCGTCTCACTTGCTTGCGTCCTGGCGCCGGGCTTTCGGACACGGATCGATCCGCTTGCTCGCGTCTTCCTTGCTTCGCCCGCTTTGTATTCCGCCGAGTCCGGGCTTCCCTCGCGTCGGTTTGCGAATCTGCCGCGCTGCCTCACACGGGGGCAATTCGTTTTGCGCGTGTCCCGCCTTGTTTTGCTCGTCTTCGATTGGAGTCACTGGCGCGACGGAGGAACAAACACATGCCTGCTTGCGTTTGTGTACGAGTGTGGCGCCCCACCGAGGCGTGCATGATGTGAGTGGCTTGCTCAGTCGTGTGTGCGGCCTGCCCAGCGCTTCAGTGCGGCGCCGCAGCGGCATCTGGGGCACGGCGTCATCCGCGCGCAAGTGTAATTGTATGCGGCTGTTCGCTGCAAGCGTCTCCCTTTGCATTGTACATTGGATGGTTCGGCACGTCAGCGGCAAAACAATTGAGTTCGCGCGTGCGTGTGTGGTTGTGTTTGCTGCCGCTAGCCTGACTCCGCCGCGTTGCTGCACGTGTGGCCGCGACGCCACAAGAGTGGGCGGCTATGTGATAGTGCGTGTATGTGTGCGTTCGTATTTGTCGCACTGTCGAGAAGACGATGCCACCAACGTCCGAAGAGACACCAACGCCGCCCTGCACAACAACTCCCCCGGGGACCTGAGAACCCAGAACGGCCTCAGGACAGCAGCCACGAACGAGCGAGCGTGTGTGTGTGTGTGTGTGTGTGTGATGAGTTTGTGCGCCTCCGTGTGTGTGTGTGTGTGTGTGTGTGTGTGTGTGTGTGCGTGGGGGGTGATCTATGGAGGGGGCGGATGGAGGGCGCGGAGTTATAGGTGGGCGGCGGTCAGTGCGGGAGGAGGGACGGGTGGGGGGGGGAGATGAGAAGAGGAGGGCGGTGGAGGGGAGGCAGGTACACGGCCCCCTCATCCCCCTCCTTGCCTGGCGGCTCCCTTTTTCATCTCTCCCCTGCTCCTCCATCTCCTCGTCCCCCGCGTGCTCTTCCTCCCTTCCTTCGTCTCCCCCTCCCTCCTCCCGGCCCCCCTCCCCATCCCTTCTTCCTTCTGGTCGTCGTCCTCCTCCCTGCAAGAAATTCGACGTCTGCTTCATTTCTTTGTTTGCGACACCCCCAGAAGTCCCGACCCTTTCCCCAGGGCCAGTTGTTTGTTATCCCGGATCGTGCATCGACGGTCCTGTGGCCCGGCGAGGCTCTCCCCGTGGCAGCACGGCGGCGCGAGCGCGTCTGGGCCGTTCTTTCCCCATCCCATCCCCCCCCTCCGAGTGGAGCAGCGGGACGGGGAGCGAGGGAACCGTGCGCGCATCTTGCCATCGGCCTCGTGGCCCTTGCTGTCGGCCTGCGGCGCGCGCAAGACAGGCGAGCGCGGCGCGGCTTGGAATTCCTGCCCGCAGATGGGGGGGGGAGAAGAATGGCGGCGAGGGGAAGGAGCAGCATAAGAATGGGCAAATGAGGAGGGCAACGAGGATACTGAGGAGGAGGAGGATGAGGAGGAGGAGGAGGAGGAGGAGGAGGAGGAGGAGGAGGAGGAGGGGGAGTGGGAGGAGGAGGAGGAGCAGGAGGTGGAGGAGGAGGAGGAGGAGGTGAAGGAGAAGAAGGAGGAGAATGAGGACGAAGACGAGCAGGAGAAGCATGATCAGAGTGAGGGGGCCAAACGGTCATTCACTGTCCCTGGGTGCGTGGCTGCAGTGGGCATCCACGGCGAGGATTATTGTTGTTGTTTTGTTGTTTTGTTTTGTTGCGTCGTCCCCCATGCGACCCAACCCGCGACCCACCTGCGATCCACCCCGCGACCCACCCCGACCCACCCGCGACCCACCCCGACCCACCCGCGACCCACCCCGCGACCCACCCCGCGACCCACCCCGCGACCCACCCGCGACCCACCCGCGACCCACCCCGCGACCCACCCCGCGACCCACCCGCGACCCACCCGCGACCCACCCGCGACCCACCCGCGACCCACCCCGCGACCCACCCCGCGACCCACCCCGCGACCCACCCCGCGACCCACCCGCGCTCCACCCGCGACCCACCCGCGACCCACCCCACGACCCACCCCGCGACCAGCCTGCGACCCCACGCGCGACCCACCCGCGACCCACCCCGCGACCCACCCCACGACCCACCCCGCGACGCGACCCACCCCGCGATCCATCCACATTGCTTTAAGCCTGCGGCGGGCTCAATGCATAATGTGTACAAGTCAGGCGCCTGCGGCGGGCTTCTTCAGAGCCTCGCAGACTGACGACGTCCTCGCCGCCCCCTCACTCTTATCCGCATCTGCGGGAGGCTTCGTATTATGATGTGTGGTGGTAGAGATGGTTAGGACGAAGATAAGAAGGGGGATCTAAGGTGAGGGCGAAGGGGGAGGAGACAGGAGGGAGATGAGGAGGAGGAGAAAAACAATAACAATGATACTGGGGATGAGGATGAGGATAGCGACGAGGAGGATGAGGAGGAGGAAAAGGAGAAGGGGGAGGAGGATGAGGAGGAGGCGGTGGAGGTGGAGCAGGAGGAGGAGACTAATAATACTGAGGATGAGGATGTTGACGACGAGAAGGAGGAGGAGGAGGAGGAGGAGGAGGAGGGGGCGATGATGGTGATAATGATGATGCTGATCATGATGATGATGCTGATGCTGATGATGACGATGCTGATGAGGTTGATGACGATGATGATGATGGTGCTGATGTGATTACTGATGATGCTGCTGATGGGGGTAATGATACTGATGCTGATGCTGATGATGAGACTGCTGCTGCTGATGATGCTGATGATGGTGATGATGATGCTGATGGTGATGATGAGGACGATGATGATGGTGATGGTGGTGGCGGTGTTGATGATGGTGGTGCTGATGATGATGCTGAGGATGATGATGGTGCTGATGATGATGACGCTGATGGTCATGATGATGCTGATGGTCATGATGATGACGATTTTGATGCTTGTGATGGTGATGGTTGCGTTGATGGTGATACTGATGCTGATGCTGGTGATGCTGCTGCTGATGATGGTGGCTGTGATGATGATGTGTCATGATGATGTGGATTATGGTGACGACGACGTTGACGATTCTGACGATTCTGATGATGATGATGATGAGGATGATGATGGTCATAATGATGATTACGTTGATGATGATTATGATGCTGATGATGCTGATTATGATGATGATGATGGTGGTGGTGATAATGATTATGATGATGATGCGGCTGATGATGCTGATGCTGCTGCTGATGATGCTGATGATGCTGCTGCTGATGATGATGATCATGATGGTTGTAATGGTGGTGGTGATGATGATTATGATGGAGAGGAGAAGGAGGAGGAGGAGGAGGAGGAGAAAGGAGAAGTAGTAGTACATAGACTGTTTGGATTCACGGCAAAATCCCAGCATATCAAAATTTCGAAGAGGAGGCGGGTCTTGCCAGTTGCCTCCTGGATCCCGCTGGACAAGACAACCCGATCTCTTTCGGGGTTCTCTCTCCCAGTCAAAACGTCGTTGTCGTCGTCGTCGAGGTCAGAGGCTCCTTGACATGTGTGGACCTCTGTAGGCCTCTGAAGTCCTCCGGCGACCTCCCGCCGAGGGGAGACCTCCAGGGACCTCTTGGGACTTCTAGAGGCTTCTGCAGACCTCCAGCGACCTTCAGTTCTCTGGAGGAGGAGGAGGAGGCCCACAGCAGGCCACATAAGTTGGGCCGGAGGCGACTGCACGAGTGTAGTCTAAGCTGCTGTTGTGTGACAGAACCCTCCTCGTCCCCGTCATGTCTCCGTCCCTCCCTCCCTGCCCTTCTCCAGCGTTCCTTCGTCCCCTCGTCTCCCTCCATCCTCGTCCTCCCCCACGTCTTTCCCCTTCTCCTCGCCCTTCACCTCGCTCCCTCTCCTGGACCTTATCCTCGCCTCTCGCCTCCGTCTTCCCTTCGTCCTGCCCCTCTCTCTCGTCGCTGTTGTCGTCTTCGTCCTTCTTATCCCCCTCCTGCGCCTCCCAATGGTGAAATAGTCTGGGGACGTTTTTGTTCGTGCTCTTTCGCTTATGTTTGACAAATGTGTGATTATTGTTCGGTCTGTCTTCCAAAATGCGCCTATAGGAGAATATGCCCGACCTAACGCTTGGCCTCCTCCTCCCCTTTCTCACACTCCTTTCCCCTCTCGCCCTTCTCTCCGTCCCTTCGCCTTCCTCCTTCTTCCCCCTCCGTCTCCCCTCCCGCGATCCTCCGATTGTGTGTGTCTGTGTCTGTGTCTGTGTCTGTGTCTGTGTCTGTGTCTGTGTCTGTGTGTCTGTGCCTGTGCCTGCGCCTGTGTCTGTGTCTGTTTCTGTGTCTGTGTCTGTGTGTCTGTGTGTCTGTGTGTGTCTGTGTGTGTCTGTGTGTATCTGTGTGTCTGTGTGTCTGTGTGTGTCTCTGTGTGTCTGTGTGTGGGTGTGTGTGTGTGT